TATGAAGTTTGTCTTCCATCAGCCAGATCTTTTTCAGACGTGTTTTCTCAAGCCTTCATTCATCAATACCCTGGAGCACGGCACGAAACGGAAAACAAAAACCTCGCTCCACTCTCTTTTCTGAGGAACTTCAATAAAGCCACATCTCACTGCAGTGAAATCACTTTCTGTAAGTGGTCAGGTGTAAATGGCCACATGCACATTTGTGTGGTGGGAAGAGGGAGGATGGAAGGATCCGGGAGAAAGGATGAGAGTGAGAGCGGAACAGACATGCCTGTACTTCCTCTCCACCCATCCTTTAATGCAACTCTTGAGCAGTCTCCCCTCCCGCTGCGCAGCCTTTGTCCCGGTCATTGCCGCAGGGCTTTCAGAGCCTCCTTGCCAAGCGAGGGGCTTTGGCGACATATGTCCCTCCAGTGAGTCTGCTGTCGCTTGTTTAGCAGCCTGAACTGCGGGGGCAGGGATGGAGGCGTGTCTGTGCAGAGGGAGAGGAGCAATGTGAGGTGGAAGAGGAAGGGACATGTCAGAAATGTTTGCTCATAAAGAAAAGAGAGTTGTTTGGAATGATCTCCTGACTGTTGCTTTTATACGTTTATGTGAGCTTGTGTTTTTGCCCAAGGCCTCTGTTTGAGGTGGAAGATGTAAAATGAAGCAAAAGCTGTGAGTATTTGTTACTTTAGGAAACCTCTGATTTGACTGCTCTGTGAGAAATTATTATATTTACTGTATATATTGTGTATTTGAATAGACTGGCTTAGAAGAGCATTCTTCTCTTATGGTAAATTTACAACTTTATCAGGTTCTGATTTGGTTTAAATGAAGTTGTTTTTGATTGTTAGAAAGTTAAGAGAAGAGGGAAGGTGCACTGGGGTCATTGTGACACCATGTGTTGGTGAAGGATTAGTCGTGTAGTAGTGACACTCTTCATGCTCTGGCCGACAAAGGGCTTAGGTAATACAATCCCCGCGGATTTGTGACTGTGAGCTGCCATGTGTTCAGGTAATAGATCCCTCAGCTCCAAAAACAAATGCTTTGTTGACTGTTTACATAGGCACTCCGCCTTATTTTACGCTCTAAAGGTTTTTCCCTTTCCCTTAAAATGCGTCAGCTTTGTTTGATTATCATTGAAGTGGCAGGTTTGCAGAGCTCCACGAGCCTACAAAGCCTGGCAATTCGCCTTACCCACAGTGTTATTCAGGTGTGTGCAGCAGGCAGGTGGGGGATTTGTTGCTCGTGAATGAAAACTATCTGCTGTGTTGTCAAGATCTGAGCAAATCTTCATAAAAGTCACACTTCTAATGCAGCCTGAGTCCACTGGGTTACCTTACAAAGACAGCAAACATTTCTGGATTTATTTCCAACTTTACTATATAACACTGTGGAAAAGTTTTTAAACCACTATATATATA